TCTAACTTGGAATGATCATTGTATTTGCTTAGTTTTAATTGGTCTGATTTGGAAAAGATTATAAATTTTGGCTCCAGTTCTGTATGGGATCACATAGACTTTGCTAACTAAAGTTAGTGGATATTGCTGAACACAGTAGCAGCAGTATGATAGATGCTTTTTCTCACATTAAGTAGCATATTGCTTTTAACATAGTCCTTTGAAATTTTTCATCCTGTTGTTTTTAATGTACTTTCACTTGTTACTCTAACATCAAAATTTAAATAAACTACCATAACTTGTAAGTAAACCTGAATTAGGTGAATGTAAACTTATTGTCTCTACCCATTGGGTTTAAAAAACCCAATGATATAAGTGAGCCACTTGCCTTCCATGTACTTCCTTGTTCATGTATAAAAGTTGGGAAGATAATGAAATAGGATGTACAAATTAAGGAAAAAATCTTCCGACCTGTACTTCTTACCACTCTGTATCTGGGGCACTTTTCTACCAAAGCAACTCATTGATAATCTATTCTGTGTTAAAATTAGATTGATGTGCCTTATTTAATATTTAGTACAGTGTTTAGTACTATTACTAATAAACTGTATTTACTCATAACTCATTCTGAGATTTGTGTTAGTTTGTGGGTCTTACTTCAAAAAAATTATATAGTATTATTATTAGACACTATACCATGGATATTTTTTCAGAATACTTTGAGCTGAATGCTGTTGCATATGTACTGTATGTTTTATTTCTACTTTCAAGATAGTTGTAGATCTTAACTGGAAAAATAATACAGTAATTTTTATATAGCTCTAAAAAGTTTCATAGGCAATTGCTCAATTGCTTTTATTTCATGCTTTTGTTTATTTCCTTAATACATGTACTTCTATTTCTTGCATAAGAACAAATCAAATTTTCCTTGAAAAACTAAAAAAAAAAACCTACTACAAGTTTATCATGTACAGATTTGTTTTAAATATGAAACAGAAGTTACTTTTCCTACTTGAAAGTGGACAAGATGAAAAACTGGGAATGTAGTTTTATATGACATTCAGAAATAAATTCCATTAAAGTCAGTGATTTGCATTCATGCTGAGTACTAACAGCACTCCTTTTTGTGCATTATCTATAGTCGGATGTTCTTAGAAATATCTGATAATGCTGGAATGCTTCAATACTAGGTAGTGTGTAAGCATGCACATTATTCCAGATTCTGTCATTGGTCAGACTACAAAAAGCTATTCTAAACATTCTCACTACTTTTGTCAGGGGTAGGCAGCTTTCTCAGGATTAGAAGGCACAACCTACTTCTCCCACCAGTTGGAAGGATTTAGGATAAAAATTGCAATAGTTTGAAGCCTCCCCCCTCCCCATTGCCATTTCTACCCTTATTTTTTGACCAAACAAACAAAAATAGTATCACCAAAGAGTGGACATTTTAGTGCAATATGTCAGCATTGCTAGGGGGAGACATGTGGCAAGTGACTTTGGATTGCTCATCCTTGATTTAAGTGAAGGTATTTTTTTGTTCTAAGTATTTTCGGGAAAATAAGTGAATTCACAATTCAACTAGTTTTCCTTTCATTTTGGCAGGGAAGAATAATGCACTTTAATCCATTTCCCCTCTCCCCCTAGCAGTAATCCATCATATTCTTAAGATATTTGGTAATATTTTTAAACATCTGGTCAGGTTTATGACCTATAAGTTATGGAATATGTTTTGATTTGACATGAGTAGTGTCTCCTTTATCTCAGTTTGAATATAGTTTGGCACTTACTATAACTATCAAGTTATAATACTGTCCATCCATTCTTGAGTAGCCAGAAAACTAACAGCAAGAAAAAAAAGAGGTTACAATGATGCTGGTGAGATTTTGAAGCTTATTTTGGGTAAAATATTTTTGCTACAGCATCAGTCTGATATGGATATTAGTCAGCCCTGCATCCTTGTGAAGATGCTTTACCGTAAGACCTATCTGTTTGTTGTATGCACTATACGGTCTGAAAAAAAGTGGTGCAAATTTAAACAAACCATTGTTATTTTGCTTGTAAAGGAATATTTGCTTGTAAAGGAATATTTCAGTAGGGACTTTTTATTTCTAACTGCTTGTATTCACAACTGTTTATTTCTTTCCTTCTCTCTTTAGAACTAGTATTGTTATTTTTAGCACCTGTGCTTTCCACAAGAATATGAAAGTGCTTACAGTATATGTCTTTCTTCCTTCTTTCCTGCCTTCCTGCAGCATTTATATTTAGAATTGACTTCCAGATAGGGAATTTCTCACCTTGAAACTTGCCTTCGACAATTTTAGACTCTGAATGTGTGTTTTTTTTTTTCCTTATCAGGCCTGTCTTACTGATAGGTGAAAATAAAGCCATGTTCAGTTGACATGATCATATAAAAAATAATTGCAGTCTGTGAAAAGATCATGGAAAATATCTGCTTAATATAAAATAGGAGAGCCTGTAATATTTGCAAAGATAAAAATAATTTTTCCTTCAGGTTTAAGCAGTTCTTGAGTGTGTCAAAGAAGTAGTTGCTATTTGATGCCATCATTTTACTAAATTTAAATTGGCTGTCACACTTAGCAATCAAGAAATAAATAAATAAAGCTAGCTTACAAAGCAGAGCTGCAAGAGTTGCAATTGAGAGGTTAGGTTTATTTCTACTCCTATATCCCGCTGTTCAAGGATATGTTATATTCTGGGAATTTTAATTTTTTTTTTCTTCTGAAAGACCTAAAGACCTCTGAAAACTCAGACAGATTTAAGTAAAATTAATAACAAAATGAATTATGAAAATGTTAATTTCATTATTAAGATCAGTGGTAATCCTGTTTGTTCATTCTGCTGCTTGGCATTGGGGCTTCCTACATTACCACAGATTTACAGCCCCTAGCTAGGGCTTAAACTGCAAGTTTATCCATTGACTACTACTATTGCAGTAGTAAAGCTGTCTTCCCTGGCAACATCCCAGAGATTGACTATCCCCTGAATTTTATTAAAAAGCCTAGATGTATTACTGCCAGCTTGTGTATTATTGTGTATAAAAAGAATGCAAGTTGCAAAAATTGTTTGTATTTACTCTTTTCCAAAGAAATACAAATTTGCATTGCTTTTCTTCCATACTAGTACTGACAAAGACTGCACCTTGTCCAACTATATGATCAGGCTGTTCATCTAGATTTTACAAATATTAAGTTATCAAATTGTAGGAGACCATTTTCTCCTTAATTCTATTGTACAGAAGTATTATCAATAACATTTATGATTTCTATATTTGTTGATTCTAAACATGTTGATTTAATGGATAGGAACTTTTAACTGAAACATTTGTTGTATACAATTCAGGAATATATATTATATTAGAGCCCATCCCAGAACAGCACTGTTCAAAATTTAAATGCCACTTCAAGGACTTTGCAATTAAGGGTGCAATTTTCCAAGTATTGCTATGAATTTTGATTAGGCTTCTATGAGTGAATAAGCAATTTACATAACAAATGCTTCTTTCCATTGCCATCTATAGAATCAGTCATTATATACCTTATAGAGACCGGGATCTGTCCCTCATTCTTTGTAAAGTGCCTTGGGTATAGATGGCTGTGGTAGCTCTTGACATTTTTGGTATCTTAATAGGAATTAATAAAGTAACCAAATCAAGAAATTGCTACATATTGAATTCAAAATGGGTTAAATAAACCATTCAGCACATATATATATGAAGGATTGTGACCGTAGTTCTGTTTAATTAATCCCAACAGTAATGACAGTCTTGAGGGCATACTGGCTGCTAACCATCCTGTTTTTAAGTGCATGCTTTCTCAGTACTATGATTCATTACCATCATGTTTATTTTCAAATACATTTATAAATGTGTTATTATTCAGATTGGCAACTTTTAAAGAGCAATGAGAATGTTTTTCTGTTTGGACTGTAGCAGTATTTAATATTATTAAGTGTCTAGAAAACATATGTAAAGGAGCAATCACCTGATTATCAGTTGAGTCATCTTGTTTTATCTACAGGGATGTTCTAGATTACATCATTCCTTTCTCTGTAAAATTGGGCTGCAGGATGCTTCACTACTCCTATCTATAAGTCAAAAGGCTTGCTCTCATGTAATGCCAATTCTTTTATGCATAGCCTTTGCATGAATTTCTGTAAACACAGCTCGCTATATTCAACAAATGTGGCCTTTGTTAACTGACAGCAGTGTACTTTGTTCTCTTTAAATAGTGAACCAGATGATAATGATGATTTCTTGTTAGGGTTTCTTTTTTGAAAAAAGATTTCATCCTTTAACTTACAGAGAATATATTTTATGCCTTCAGCTTTTCACTGTATATCTCAAAAAAACAGAAGTTGTAGTACTTCAGACATTGCACCTACACCTTCCATCATCCATGAATACTGTTAAACTGTCACTGAGGTACAAAAAGCTTGGACATGCCCAGTGGAGTTTTTAAATTTTACTATTTCTTTTTTTAAACAGCAGATGCTTCACATATACCACTCAGGGCTGCGTTGCAATATTCTGAATACACTTTTCAGATTCAAAAATTGCTTGGGGGAGGGGTGGGGAAGATATAGCTTAACTTCCTTTTGAAGCATTCTTCACCATTGGCAATACTACCAATGTTATAGATGAACCAACTGCAAAGAGCCACAAATTCTCATCCCTGCTATAGCATAGGTACAGTTCAGAGGCATTGCCAAACTAGTTCTGTGAATCTTTGGATGCCAGCTCATGTATCAGTTACTTGACTGCTTATAAAACAGTGAAGGACAAAAGGAAAATAGTGTGAATTGCTAAAAACTTTGGGAAAATGAGAAAAGTAAAATAGAAGATTGAGATCAATTTAATTTTCTTCTGAAATCAGGAGCAGGAAGGTAGCAGTTGAAATCACACCTGTTATCAGATTTGTTTGTCAAAAGGAGAAAATGGATATCCATGGCTTATAAAGCTGAAGATATTACTAAAAGTATGCTGTTTTCTTTTGTAAATTTAGTTGAGAACAAATCCATCTGTAGCCCATTGGTCTGTGCACCAAAATGGAGTGAACAATGAAGACTTGCAGCATCCTTCCATGTTATCCTCTCAAGCAATGTCAAAAAGAAATTTGAAAGGTGAAAGTAAGTCCATGGTGCACACTGTGCCTGAACCAGGAACCATGGATGGGTCTGTGAGCATTTCACCAGTATTGACTAGTGCCTTGGAGCACATTGTGGAGCAATTAGATGTTCTGACTATTGTGAGTATTCCAGCATCTCTGTATTAGATTTCCATTTTGAAATTGAACTTCTATTAAATAGGGGTTTTTTTCTTTCTATATTTTACACTTAATAAATGAGGTTGGCCCATGTGGGGAGGGGTCACAAACATTTGATTCTTATCCAGACTTGAAGTATCTTATTCAACATTTTTACTTTGTTTTACAAGTTGTAGCTTATCTTTCAAATTTTTCAAGAGTGGTTTATACCTGTACATGAATTCATTGGCTTCAGACCTGAGGCAACCTTCAATTCCTTAGCCCTCTCTTTACAATAAATAATAGAATAAGTGTTTCCAAATTGAGCAGTTTCACATGAAAAGTGACTTAAACACTTGTAAAGTTGTATCATGTGATCCTCACTGTCATATATTAAGGTACAGTATATATGACCTTTTTCCAAATTAGAAATGAATGTAAGTAACATTCACATACAGTTTAAGCCAGTGTTACTTAACTCGTAGTGTATATACTACCAGTGATATACTGGCATACTTGTCACCTGTAGCGGAATAAGAGAGAAGAGTTTCAAACACTAGGAATGGATTGCCGCTACTGAGTGCAGAGAAAGAAATTTTCTTAATATGTTTTGCCTTGAACTGGAATAAAATATATCTGCAGAATCAGAAAGGTAGCTAAGTTTGAACTATGTGAGGGTGTGCGTGACAAAAGGAGAGCAACCTGTCACATTGATAATATTTGTTCTGTAATAGAGAGCACCTCCTTGCCAGAAGGTTCATGTTGCGGGGAACTAGGAAAGGCAACATTTCCATTCTACTGTCACCACACCATTGCATGTCATGGGCACATGGGGTACCTTTGGGGTATCCAGTAAGGGAATTTCCTTGTGTTTCCCATACTGCTCTCAGTAATATTGGGCACCAGTTTTTCCTGACATTGTCCTGCAGCCAGTGACATTGAAAATAGTCTATGTTGCTTGGAAGCTACTCCAAGATGTGATTCCCAACAAAAATGCCCAGCACTTCTTTCTCACAGGTTGAGACTCAGGGTTGCGTTGGCCTCATTCATAAATGTGGCCACCACAAAGAGTAGCTCATTCCAAACCTAAGGAACTTTAACTAAGTTGCTCCTAATGGAAGACTCCTAGATTACTCAACTGATTTTGTCCTGGAGCAGCAGTTCTTGCTGGAGTGCAGATTTGCTCCTCAATGCAATTTAAGGCAACCTAGTAAGCATTAAGGCAGTAGTCTATCACCTTCCAAGTACACCTCATCCTGAGTTTGCAACATGACCAGCCATCCATTTAAATGTATGTATGTATGTATGTATGTTCAAGAATAGCAACTGGAAATGTGTAGAGCAATTGATAGACATAGTCAAGTGTCCTATTATGTGGAGGAGAGTCTTTTATAATATCATGTTTTTTATATTTTGATGTGATATTTTGTTTGCATATTATTATTTTCCCCCCAAGGAGCCATATTTTGAGGGTCTCTTAGAGCTCAGTCATTTATCTGCAAAAGCAGCTATGTTGACAAAGGGAGGGGAAGCAAAAATCCCTGCTGAAACAATACTTTGTTACATCAACTGAAGATTTACAAAACAGTTGTAAAAGTGTCATAATTCCAAGAATTCTTCGTCACAACAAAAATTACTGTTAATGTTCAAACCATGTTTGCTCCAGAGTACAATTTTAAATGAAGTGTGAGAGAATTTACAGATTGTTACCGCTGCTCCTTTGGGAGACTAAATTCATATTGGAGAAGGGGGAGCATAAATAAACATAAGTATATTTTTCTATCCAATGCTCAGTGCCTAGGACAGAAAGGCTTATATAGTTATCTCTCTATTTCTGATTCTAATTGTTGTAAGAAGCTTACTATAAATGATAAATGTAATAACAGAAAGCCTATAAACATATAAATGATCTTCTTAGAAAAAAGGATTTTTTAATTTCTGTCACAATGTGACCCAGGTTCTTTGACGGACTTATTGGTGGAACATAAGACACAAATGTTTTAGATTTTTTAAGGTATCAGCATTCTAGCCAATTACTTAAAAATAGGCTTCATTATACTGTTGAAAAAATATGCTGTTTATTTCAAAAAATATGTGAAATTCCTAAAAAGCTTTCAAAGAATTACATTCATATGTTCGAATCCAAAGAGCTCCATGCAGTAAGTGGGTATCTGTTCCACGTGTGTACAGGGAGGAGTGGAGAGAATTGCCCATTTCCTAAGCTGCGGCCAGCAAATCATATTGCATGCTGTTCCTGCAGGTAGCAGGAGGATCTGGAAAAGCCCTGGTGTGTGTATCTGATATTGTACCACTATTATTGTTATTATTTGGTTCTCAACTTGAAGTGGAGAGAACTAGTTTTTCAGAAATTTCGTTTCCAGAGCTGTCTAACATAAAAGAAGATAATTCACTTGCATTTTGGTGATTATAATTTATATTTGAGTATATGCCACAATTCATCCTGCTATACAGAGATTCTGCCAGAAGAGTATACAAATGATATGCCAGATTTTATTCCTCCTCTCTAGTATTTTTTTTAATTATAAGAATACGATGCATTAAACCTCTGTATTACAAGTATCCAAAGTCATGACATAGCAAGAAAGAGTCTTCAAAGAAATAATTTTTCAGACTTCCTAAGCCATTTAGAAAAGTTAAGATTATATGGTCAATTGCTGCAGCTCTCTGATTTCTTGAATGGATTAAAAACAATTGCTTTCAAATAACATATTACACATTTAGCTGGCCTACTAATAGTGTTCATTATCTTTTCCTCCTAACAGACTGTTTCAATCTTGGAACAGCGCCTGACTTTGACTGAAGATAAATTAAAAGAGTGCTTAGAGAACCAAGGGAAACTGTTACTTTCTGTCAGACTGTGAGAAGAAATAACATAAATGCTGGTGAATACTTATTAATCTATTCTCAGGGAAGTGAAGCAAAAAGTAGCAATACTTAATGACATGAATCCAACAAATAAAAAGTGCCTATTGCTTGTAAGATTTTTTAACATATCATTGCTAAAATATTGAACGTTAATTATTTTATTAAATATATTTATTTTGCTTTTTTCTGAATATCCAGTGTACTCTTTATTCCAATATTTACTTATTCTTGACATAATTGGCACAGTCCAAAGCTGTGCACGTACTTCTGCACCTGTACAGAAATTATCTCATCCCTCTCTCTTGCCTAATTGATGATATTTCCTATTTATAGATTTGTAGCATTTCTTAACTCATGGAAAATATGAGGTTGCTACATTCAGAACAGGAACAAGAACAATGCAGCTTCTTGGTCTTAGAGAAGTGTCAAGAATTAGGAAGAAAACGGAGTTCGTACAAAGCTTTTGAAAAAAACTGAGGCATCCTCTTATGTGCCCACACTGGAATAAAAGATTGGGAAAAGGTGGAATAAACAGGAGACGATCAAGGAATTCATTGATCCAGGACAGATTAAAAAATGTCTGTGTCACTGTGGCTGCTGAGACCTCTCTTGGGGTCCATTATACTCCATGATCCTCCAATATTATTTTTTTTCTAATAAGAGTATTTCTGTTAAAAGAAATGGAAATGGTGATTTGAAGTACAGTCCCAGTAGATACTTGTGGGGATGGAGAGTTATGCATTGCTAAAATGTATTCACATGTTCAAGAAAAATAAAACTCAACTGGATAGATGGGCAGCTGTGGTAGTCTATGGTAGCCAAAAATCCAGAGGAATCTAATAGCAGTTTTCCAGTCAGAAAAGATGCTTTATGAATGTATGGATAAATAGGAACACCTTGGGGGCTGGAGAGCAAACCAAAAAGCAACCTCACCAATTTGCTTCCTGGGAAATATCTGCTTTGTGGCTACCCATACCCATTATAGAAATCATTTTATAAAGCACCTCTCCCTGATGGTTGTTTTGGGAAGCAGTAATATAAAAATGGGGGATGCGGTGGTGCAGCGGCTTAATGACGCTGAAAGTTGCC